AAGGACACCTCAGTTTCCAACAAAGACCAAAGCAGAAGGGCCGGGGCGTTGAGCTGGGTGCGCTTAACCTTGGTAGGCTATTTGACTGCCAGCTAGCTGGCAGCCGGTGTGCCCGTTTACTGGCAGCCACAACCTGTTTGAGTTTGTGGTGTGTGCTTCTTGAAGCTTTGAGCTTCTGGAGGGCCTTAGGACGAGGTGAGAGTTGTTCGAGTAAAACGGTCGCGTCCGTTGAAGGTTGCCTTGAAGCTTCGTGATTCTTAGAGCCGCGGCTTGTTGAGGCGATGTGGTAGCGGGGGACTATATCGCGTCACATGGACGATCAAAGTGAAAAAATAGCATAAGCGAAGATTCAACCTTTTGACCTGCTGGCTTGGTTGCAATGTGCGCATGGAGCCTGGTAATTGAACTTGGTGCTATTTGCTATCATTATGGTTTTGAATGGGATGCCACGTGATGCGTGCAAGTGCTGATTGTTTGCAAATTGCAGCAAATTCTGCGAGTCCGTGGAAAAAGCTGCCAGCATGTGCTTTGGAGTTTACCGGACGGGTAGAAATTTGGACACCCACTCGCTATTTGGAGGACACCCGGTTCAGGCTAGATGAGCCTTATATTAATTATACTTACTTGTTGAATTCTTTCTTCGGAATCATGCATTCATACCCAGACACTCCATGTATGCCATATATGCTTACATTGGGGTGGTGCCAGAGGGGATCAATGAGACGGCAGTCCAAACACTATAGCAGCCGTCCCATTCTTTGGTCGTGTCGCGTTTGCGACCCGATAGAATCACTCCCTCATTGGTGTCATCCTCTTTACTTCATTCGTTCCTCACCCCCAGAACCTCCGCCCTCACCGAGCTTGGGGGCGTCCAGGACAAGGAGTTTGGTGGTTGTGGAGTGGTCTCACCAGTGGAACAAAAAGGAGTGAAAAACCTGTACTCATGGGTGACCACTCCTCATGAGTGAAAACCTAAAAAACCTCATGGGTGAGCACCTGAAAAAAACCACAGAAACACGCCCAACTACCTTGGGCAGCCGGTCGACCGGTGCCGCGCAGATCGGAGAGCCGAACTATGGAGCCGCCAACCCATGGAGCCAACCCATGGAGCCTGGTGTTTGGGGCTTCATCGAGATCTTATGGCTTCCAAGCGAATTTGAGACCTACTCCGTCGGTATGAACCCGCCGTCCAGCTTGGAGGTTTAGTGAGTGGCTCCGTCATTCAGTCATACTCTCCATCCATTGGCTAGGTAGATAGGGCGGTGAAGGCACGGGTCGTTTAGTAGGAGGGTGAGGATCAGGATGTAAGACAAATGTTCCGAGCCAGAGACAAAGGTTGTGACCAGGGCTGATAGCGCTGGTTGTTTGGGTTGTTCATTTGCCTTAGACAAGATGGGGCACATCAGTCAAGGGGAAACAAAAGTATTACCCACTCCTCACATGTGTCACTGGTTCTTCTTCAGCAGGACTTGGGTTGCAGTGGGCCCTTCTGTAGGGCAGTAATTACTCAACCCTTTGTACCCACTGGTTGCCGTGAAGTATCACAACGCACGACGAAAACAACCTCTTATGACCAGTTTAGATTGACTTGGTAAGAGTTACTAGACCCTCCCTGAAATACTCATGGACTTGGAAAATGGTCCCCTTTGGGGGGACCATTTTCCTCTACAAACAACGGGGTGCACTCCACTTCCATGATTATTCCAGGGAGTGCAAATCCTTTGTGTCTCTAGTGCTTGACCGACAGATAGAGACCATTGACAGACAGACAGACCATTGACCGCGTCTACCGATGTCTACGCTTTTTGCTGCACCAGGCCGTGGCGAATGTTGACATCAAGCTTCCCAATCCGGTCTTGGCTGATGCCAAGGTTGCAGTGGATCGTTTGGTTGGCTTGCGGTGGATGGTGAGAGGTGATTTGGGAGTTGGGAGGTGGTCCTCCTGATTTTGCTTAAGGGGACTTTTAACTTCCCTGTGGGTGAATCCACTTCTGGGGAATGTGTTGAAAATTCAGCACCGCGGTGCTTAGGTAAGCAAATGGAAGTGCCCAAAGGCCACAAGAAATGTGAAACTCCAGCAACGCAGGCCTAGTTGGGAGGTGTCCTGATCCCTAAGTTACGATGTGGCACTCCTCTGGGGTTTTGGGTATTCCAGGGGTGCTTAGTACTTGCGAAAATGAGTGGATGGATTGAAATCTCACATGGAAGTGGAGTTCCCCCCTGTTTGCTCTTCAAATTTCATGGTCTTCCGAAAAGAAACAAACAGTTGGCCATGCCATCCACATAACCATGGAACGTTCCAGGGAGATCCAGGGAGTGTGATTCCGATTCCCACGGCCCCATCCGGAGTCCCAAGTCAGCGTGGTGGCTTGGTGTTCGTCATGTGACACTGTGAAGTCGACCACATTCGACGGCACCGATTTGATCAAGGGGAGGATAGATGAAAATAGATCTGATCGGTCCTTTGTTTAGGTTTTGACCTCGAGTCACCCTGAATCCAGAATCATTCACTGCAAAAGGTGTGATTCTTTCCATGTTCACCTCCTCCGTCCAGGGATTCACCATGTTCTATCCTTCACCGCATCTATGTCAGTTTGCCCTTCCCGTGTGCAGTCATGTACTCCTACAATGTCTCGTTTCCAAGAGAGCCTCGTGTCCCTTTGACTTGGGCTTCGGCTAAAAAAGGTCGACCCGAGATCAGCCATCCGTCCCATCCCAAAACTCCGAGTTGATTCAGCGAAAAAAACAAAAAGAAAGGACCTTGGTGGGGTCATGGTGCAGTTTCACTGCTTTGCTGCATACTTTCGTCCTTCGTCCCCAGCGAAGCCGGAGTTCTTTTCAAGTCTCTTGAGGTGTTTCCAAATCCAAACGATCCATGATCCATGCAAGTAAATAATATGACAACCAAACCAAACCACCTCAAACCACCAGTCATGGGGCGGCGATAGGACTGCGCCACCATGGATCATCTGGGGGAAATCCAAGGATCATCTGGGTTTCTCCTTGTCAATCCTGGAGCCCAAAGGTCGCAGATGAGCCTCACGTGAACTCGATTTTGGTGATAAGAACGTCCCCCGCATCTCTTGAGAGACTCTGATGTTGGGGGGGGCAAAGGTCATGAAAAAGACCCACTACCTACAGGAAACAATGGTAGAACACCAGGAGGTCGATGTCCCAGGTGTCGGATCCTTAGGTGTTCTTGTTGAGAGGGTTCGGTTTTTTTTCAACCGAGACGACCCACCAGAAATGGCTCTGATAAGACCCTCCTCAAAAGGAGATCTTAAATGTAAGTGGTGGCATGAACAATATTGAACCAAAATTTGGCGTGTCATGTTGAGTGTGTCCAAATACCATCAAGTTAGTGACCTGCAGTCCTACTGCTGCCATACCTGCAGTCCTGAACTTTTTCTTGTCCTGACTGAATACCTACAGTTAGAGATGTCAAAGATGTTTGGCTAACTTCAGGAGAAAAAACAACATTTGGGCATGGTTTCTTCGCGCCCGCGCCCAACATTTTGATCGGGACTTCATCCTTCTTTGGGTCAAGAGAGAAGGCATGAAGGAACTGATATAGCAACAGAGCTCTTGATTTGCTTCAAACAGCCACGGTGGCTTAAATGGTGGCATGGCCTACCAAAGCCTACGAACACGATCAGTGATGGTGTAACTTCCTAAGAAATAACTTATGTGAGAATCCAGAAGTCCACATGATTCTAATGATTCTATTTCTTCACATGTTTACCTATCTACAAAACGACTTTATCCAGTTGAGGATGGTTGTTATCCCAAATACTCCCAGTGTCGCAGTTTCACCCCACACAACCTCCGCCAGAAAACGCCTCCGCCACCCACCGCCATGGCGTGACCGCCGACCGCCTGCATTGACGCCTCTCCGCCTCCTCGGACCGCTGCGCGGTGACCGGTGCTTTGGACCGAAGAAGTCCCGGTCCGGCGGACTTAAATGGGGTTCGGAGGCATGGGATGGGAGCAAATGAACAGAGAGCGCGTCACTTGGAGGGCACTCCCAGAAGTGATCGTAACTTGGAACTACCGTGTGTACTAAAAGAAACAGGAACACACTGTATTAGTATAGATGATGACATCTCCTCGTGAAACAGGCGAAAAAATGCTCAAGATTCTCCAACCAGGTGTCGCAAAGGGGTAGTTTGTAGTCGTCCCTATGTGAGTGGATAATGGGCACCCCTATCCTCCAAGTTCGGCACCCCTTCGTGACTGCTGGAATATATTGACCTCATTTCCGGACACCGCAGGGCTGATTTGGGCATAAGATTCCTACTGGCAACATCAAGGATCCTGAGTTGACCATATTCCCAAACTGGTGCTGGAGGGTGTTTGAGATGTTTCAAGAGGTTTTGGTCCTATGCCCTGTTTGTACCAGTTGCCTCGGAAGGTGGGGAAGCAGCTCCGTCGTTTTGTCGTGCTGTCGGATGCCAGACATTCGGAACGAATTCACAGGTTGGATGTTCGGATGTTCTTGGCCTCCCAAACTTTGACCTGTTGTGTATCAAACGGTACCAACAGCCAGGATGCATGTGATTCTTTTCACCTGTTGCGCCGACTGAAGATGTACATCCAAGCTAAGATAGTGAGACTTGAACAACACTGGCTGCTTCTTTGAGCTTCCTGTCAAGAGCCTAAAGCAGCCATGATTGTTTGGTTGAAACCACCCACCAGAGGTCATGCTGAGTCCGAATTTACCCAAGCAGAGGTCGTCATTCTCTCGTTCAACGAAGCACTCCTGTCACGTCACTTCTTCTTTTACAAGAACTCCGTGGCATCCCTAGGTTTTTTAGACTCATTCGAATACATTCGAATTAAATTCTTATAGAGATGGCCTCCAACCATCTCCAACCTACAAGCGATGGCCTCCAACCTAATAGCGATGGCCTCTATCCTTTTTCGAAGGTATTTGCTGATGAACCAGGGAGTTGATTTACAGTCAGAGGTTTGTCCTTTGACCGGATCTGGCGGAGGTTACCATGGATCTGGCAGCCCTCGCAGCGGGCGGGGTTGGGAGCCTCTTTGGCTGCTCGGCATGGTCGGAGTCAGAGTTTACTTTGTTTATGGAGCGGTGCAGATGATGCGGGTATCTACTCCTCCAACATTCTCCTCCCCCTGCTATTTTGTTGTTCGAGCATCCTCCCCCCTACCATTTTGATTTATGTAGCTCATATCCTGACCCTCCAACAAAATGGTAGGTTGATCTCCACGGGAGTCCATGTGTCAAGCTCGCTCCCGAGCCATTGTGCATCTAAACCGTGCCATTTGCCTCCCGACCTCACAGCAGTTCCGTCCCGGCGTGTGGTGGTTCGATGTTCTCGGTTGTTAATCCACCTTGCACTGGAGAGCAAGTTTGACGAATTCATTAGTGGAGGTGGATGGGAGGCTATATGGGAGGTTTGTTGTTGAAATGCGGGGGTCCGCACGAAAACTTTTGGAAACTGTGGGTTCAGCAAGTTCGGGTCTGACATTGGCCGTTTTGGGCAATTGAAACGTCTATGACCTTGTTTGGACGAAGATGATGAACAGATGAAGTTCAACAGATGATGACCCCGTCCAAGATGATGAACAGATGAACAGCTTGGCCTTGTTTTTCTTGGAAGGGGAGGACGAAGCTGTTCGGGTCCGACGTCGGGTCCGACGTCGGGTCCGACGTCTTCCACTTGCCCCCGGAACCCGTTCGAAGGGCTTCGAACGGAACCCGTTTAGGCCATGTACCAGGACCCTCCAACAGGTCTCCTTTGGAGGCGAAAATGCAGGCTTAAACGTCGCAGGTGGTGACCTGTTGGAGGGTGCTGGTAGGGATCCGTTTTCGTACCGAACCTCAGGTCCGGTGAGGACGGAGACACTGAGACATGACTGGTGCCATTCCTCGGCTCCAGTCGTACCGAACCTGAGGTTCGCTACGAAAACGGAATATATAGGGAACATCTCTCAAAATGCCGTTCTTTTGTTCCTTTTTTCCATGTATCCTGCCCTGCCACCAACCGGGGCGATCTGAGGCTACAACCGTGAGAACTATTTCTTTGATGGCAAGCATCTCGGCGCACCGGGCCGGGTTCGGTCCGGTTTGTCCGGTTGGCGTGAAGTGATATGGGAGGTTAGTTTCTGCTTGTTAACACATCACACACACCTCTAGATTGATCAGTGAGAACTGTGATGAGAACTGGGTATTTTTTGCTTCGACCGTTTATGTTGCGACTGCTATTCTGTTGTGACTCACCATTTCTGAAAAGGTCGCATCGCTTGCACTGCTGTGTTTTCTCGGTGCCACCTGCGACGTGAGCCTTGACTGACCAGACATCATGAATTGGCTGGAGGCCACAAAGTTGTTCTGGGGGGATTCATATATGCAGATACAATGTCTTTATATGTCTTCATGATTCACTGATTATTTATGATTATTAATGGATATTTGGTGCAAGGATTTAGACTATATTAGGGGTAAGTCGCCCTATCTATTCCCTGGCAAGGAGTTAGAGGGTAGTCACCCTTAAAGGTTTGGTCGTGGTCTTGAGCCGTTTTGCCGCACTCGGGATCGCAACGCTCAGGCAGCGGATCAAGCGAATCTACCAAGGTTGGGCCTGTTGAGGGTGGAATCCATAGCTGAAACTTCAAGTCAACATGGATGGTGAGGCGAGGATGACAAATGGCCATGTGCATTCTTTCCCCCTGCGCCTGCGCAGGGTCCAATTCCACATGGGAATTGGAGAATTACCCGACGTCACCAAAGTCGAAGCAGGGTGATTCGAGCGGATGTGTTTGTTTTGCTCCGAGAAGAGGGGAAAGACCCCACGCTCCAACTTCGGCCGCTGTGGTCTATCCTCTATCCCGCCAGACTCAGCGGGGTATTTTTGAGAGGCCAGACCATGCGAGTGAAGCAGTTCGAGCTCTTTCGAGAAGATATCCGAGACTTGATGAATCTCACGGTGGCCAAGATGGACAACTACTTGATAGCCACTTGTCCCGAGGTCTACGTCTTAAAATCAGGGCCTGGCAAAGAAATAGAATCTACAAACTAACTACTACCATCTTCCAGCACCACCCAAAGGATGGTTAATAGACCCCCCTGAAGATGTATTTTCCCTCTAACAACCACCCTTTGGGTGGTACTGGTCCTACCCAATCAATCCTTTGTTTTAAGAATCATGTACGGCCGGACGAGACTCGGAAACATGCGTCGAACGCTGTTCGCCTCACCTGCCGGGCCCACTCGTGCCAAGGTGAATACCATCCAGGCGAGGTCCTGCAGGGCCAAGGGTCAAGCAGGGGGGATGGAGTTTGTCGCAAAAGTGATCTCTAAGACTTGAAGGACATGTAGGAATGCAAGAGGGCTCAAGTCTCCTACATGTCGGGTGTGCAGTCCGTGTGCAGTCCGGGCCACTGCCATTGCCCGAAGCTCTACTCAAACTTTGAGGACAGAAGACATAGTTGCATGATGTTGCATGATGTTGCATGCATTACACACACTAAGTGCAGCGTGTTTCGGCATGTGAGGGTATTTGGATGTATTTGGTAGGTACCAGACACACAACGGCCACCTTTCTCGGCTTTAACTGGGACCCAGATCAGATCGGAACCCCGCACTGAAACTCACCTCACCTCTCACCGTTCACCTCTCGGCAGATTGGCTTGGTGGTGGTGCTCTTTACTGAGGGTCGGCCGAAGCCGGGCGACGCCCCGCCGTGGCTCTTGTTCCTGTCGCGGGCCGGAAGGAGGGGGTATGGAAGGGAAGTGGCCGGAAGGAGGCGCAACGAAAGGGAAGAACGTTTTAGGGCGGTGTGCTTTAATGGCGGGGAGCAAAGCAAATTGTTAAAGTCTCTAGAGTGCCCGTGGCATGGCACAAGACTGGTAGATACTTCAAAATGAGTGGATGTCCCGTGGTGTAGTGAGGAGTTTCTTGTAATTAATGCACAGATGTCTATCATTATGCCTTCATGTTTTGCAATGATTTTGCAATGGCATAGGAGCGTTGCATTTATATGCGGGCATGCTCCAAACCCTGGCGAAGAAAAGAGGATTAATGATACCCTTTGACACGGCTCCAACACATTGGAAAACTCACAAATCTGAGGAGGCAACAGCCGCACAGAATAAATTTTGACCGTACCGCCGTACCTCATGTATAATTGGTGAATGATGACTGATATGATTTTGCTTCTCAAATAGATCACAAGAAGATGCACTCGGGAGCTTCTAGCCAAGAAGCGACGTTGACAGAACTGATCAATGTGCAAAGAACTTGACAGAGTTGTCGATTCGGAGAAACTGTAGATCGAGGATTGGCATGGACAACAGCTCTGTTGACCAACCGATGCGTTGTTTGAACACTTGTTTTCTAGGAATGCAGTGACCTGGACAAGTGGATGGCACACCACAAGATGAAGCTGGATGGCGGACAAGGCCATCACTTGCACCAGCTGAATGAAGTGATGAGCATCAAGTTCATCAATAAAAAGGCATCGGAGCAAGCAGAAAAGGAGCAGAGCAGACAAGGACGCAGAGGAGGTAAGAGGCATCAGTAAGCGTTTCGCTTCAGCAAAATCCCGAGATCAGGGTTCATAGGGTATTTCGCACAGATCGTCCGTGTTTGCTGGCAAAGCCCGGACGAGTTCAACATCAGATCCGAAACGAAAGCGTGGCTCAGGGAATGAGGCCCCCTGGATCCAACCGGGAATCTCTCTATCTCGGGCTCGGCTCGGCTCGGCTCAGGGCGCCCCATTCCGCCCAAGGGAGCGGCACCCCGTGATGGATCGGATGCGTGCGTAGTGGCGTAGTGGCGTAGTGCCGCGCGATTGGACATCAGACCTGACCATCCTGTGACTGATGGGCAATGGGACCCGTCCCTGCAAGAAACCCTATCAACAATCCGACCCAGCCGAGCCACATCCCGCCGAGCGGAGGGGGATCGCTAAAGGCAAAAATTGGAGTGCCAAGGTGATTCCGGTGATTCCGATTGAATTGCTGTGAATTCGATGTTGATGTTCCCAACATGCTTTGTTTTGGATGCTTTTTCATAGGAAATGGAAATCTCCGGGGTGTTTCTTGTCTTAGGCAATGTGCTGGTGGTTCATGCTCCGGTGAAAAACGGCCCCAATCTCACCGGCCTGAGAAGCAAAGGATGAGAAGCTCCTTTCTTCCAAAAGCCATCCGACTGGTGTTTTGGTCCCTTCTGAACCCACCAGTCCAAGTTAATCTCCTTTTCTTGCACGATCCAAAGCCTTTGACGCGGCGACTGACTCGTCGCGCACCCAAAAAAGCACGTCACCCTTGCCGCTCCTAATCTCACCAGCCAAAACGCCTACAGTGTCGTTGGTTCCTGAGGTGGGGAGCCTCGGGGGTCGGCTCCTTCATGTACATCGCCCTTTGCATTTGGCCCCTCGTCCGCGACACCGCGAGACCCGGAAGGCCGCGGAAGGGCCGTGGCGGCCGACACACGGCGTCTGAGCCGTACGTGACCTCTTTGGAGTCTGTAAGTGACCTCAGCCACTGGGATCTCAAGTTCGGTCACGTACTGAAGGTCCTGGAATGCGACACTCGGGTTAAGCACAGAAATCGTGATGGTAGAGTTTTTTTGGAGCTGAAGAGGTGAGTGGGGCGCTTGATGGATGGCATTGGGAGGGATTTGTCAACAGTGTGGACTCCAAAGGGTTGGTGGAGAAGTTGACAGGAGTTTTCTGTAGCATGTACAACTGTGAGGCTGCCCCTGCTTGGTTAGTATGACTATGCGGAGAGTGGATTCACTCTACCACTTGTACCACTTGTCTTTGAAGCGTTTGGGACCAGAGAAAACCCCGTTTGGGACCCACGGTCCTCCCTCTTACGATCCAAGCTCCCTGGAAGTCAAGTCGACCAGTTGTTAAATGGTTGATCTGGTTTTGTCGTGTAAAACCATGTAAAACCCTTCGTAAAACAATGGTTGTTCGGGATGACCCGGCCATTAAAACAATGGTGGTTCGACGAACATCGGATGCTTCGTATCCGATGTTCGCCGCGAAGGCAGCAGCACGATCTCCGCAAGAGCGGCACGCAGTACTCTGAACAATAAACCCTGGTATACGACGATTCTCATCTACCCACCCGGCGGTTTTTGAGGGTCTATGTGAATCTGCAAGAGGGATCAGGAGGCTAACAACCGGATGACAACCTGATGGGGATCTTTGTGCTGTGTCTATCTATTGGGCGACGCTAAGTTGAAGTTGACTTAAAGAAACGGTTGTTATATATGTGGCTGTGGGTCAAAACCCTCGAACCCCATTAGAATTAGAGTCATAGAGAATAAACAGAATGACTATATAGATATACGAGATCAACCTACCATGTATGGCGAGAAGGCCCTGCTCAAGGATGTTCTTTCGAGAACTCTCGCGGCGGTCTCGCTGATTGTATGGCGGCTCAAGCTTGTTCTCTCATGTCTCGCTTCGGGCGGCGGTGCCCAAAGTGAGAAAGAAGAACTTGAGCATGCCACGTGTTGGGAACTGGGGATGCGCCAGGAAGGCGCCAGGAAGCCGTTTTCACCTTCCCAACGCACTCCCAGTCCCGCGTCCGGGACTGGAGATGTTGGGAGACCCTGTCGGTGGTTCGCAGGTTCGAAGGTTCCAGACTCCCACTCGGCACGAAACGATGGACACATGAAAGAATTGGCCCCTTGGAAGACCACGAACTCCGAAGACCAAACAGTTGGGTGCACCACCCACTCCCTCCACAAGATCTACTGAGTCTACTGTCTTTCTGCATCTCACTGGAAGGGAACCTGCGAACCTGGCCGTGCACCGAGGTTGGCCATGCATGCGTCCATTTGTTCGCACTCCTACTGCGTGCGCATCCTGACGCCACGCGGCCCAACGAACGGAACGGCACGCGGAGTCGAGGGCGACCTGGTTTTCGTGACGTGACTGAACGCCATTCGGGTGGGAGGAGTCAGGGTGAGTCGTTTGGATGAAGACGCGGAAGCCGATGATCCAGACATCGACGATCGACTGCGGAAGGGCGATGTGGCTTCGAGACTGACGTTGATGTCCTTTTCGTCCGGACACATCCGGACACCAGCGAAGATGGCTCTCGGAATTACTCAGTGCTCTTGAGAAAGATCTGCCAAAAAGGATCGGCGGGGGCGCGTCTGAGGCAACTTGTGCGACTGCCCATTCCCACGAAGGACGGCGAAGTCTAAGAGCGGGTCGTTTCCCAGAGAAGTCACCAGCTTTTTGCAGGATTGAGGAGGTTTTTCTCAGGTCCGAACTGAAGAGTTCAGCTTGGTGAACGCTATCTATCGCGAGCCTTCTGGCCTAATCTTCCCAGCGTGATCCCGTTCGACGGGTTCGCCGCTTTTCAACGGGGGGTGATCCCGACGGGTCCACGGTCGATCGCAGCCGGCCGTTCGAGGCCGTTCGCCTGTTTTCAACGGGTGTGCATGGCGATTCACGTTCCGATTCAGAGACATGACCTGGGCCCCCGAAATCGGACCTTCTCATGAGATGTCGACGGCATGAGTACACGAGTTTACTACACCCCTCACCAGTCCGAGCCCTGGTTCTTTCTGGCATGTAGGACGTCAATGCAACCAGGCATTTGGAAAGCAACGATTTCATTTGTAGGGGGGGCATGATCGCATGAAGGAACATCAGTTAGAATATGTTAGAATTCACTGCAAGTTTCACTGCGTAGTCTTGGAAACCGTAATCTCATAGAGAGTATGATGTGTGACATATACTCACGTCACCGTTTCTGACATCAGCACCGTTTCTGATAAAGATGCTGTTTAAATATGTTGTTTTGAAGGGTTAGTTCGGGTGGTTTGTGTGTCGCAACTTGGGGCCGAACATCAACTTGATGCCTCTATCTCTACATCAACTGCCCCTGGTGTGGGGTCCTAACTCCCTCTCATCCAACGACGCGTTGCTCCAGGAGCAGTTGGATGCTGCAAGGGTCCTGGCGACCGACTTCGAAGGAGCCGAAGTCAGGCGACGCCGTCGAGCGAGCGACGAGAGCGGAGGAAAAGCGCGGCTTCTTTGGGATAGGGTTAACAGAATCGTTCATATTCTTTCATATGGTAAGGCCAGAATCCTTGAATTTGAAAAAACGTCGGAAAAAAAAAGAGAAAAAACATCAAAATGGAAGAGTATAAAACAAAACCACAAATATGTAGAAAATGTCTTTAAACAAGTCAAATAAAAGTACATAAGATAAACGTCAAACAAAGTCACAAAAAAAAAGGTTAAAAAACAAAAACAAGTCGGAAAAAAGGAAACAAGTCACAACTAGAAACACAAAAACTAGAAAAGGTCGGATCTGGGCCAATTGACTTTTGGGACTGACTACTAAGTTGTTGTTTTTTATTTGAAAACAGGCTCTCTCCAATGAAATATTTCATTAAGGATAGGGGCAGTGATAGAGGCATAGTAAGAGGCATTTGGCAAAGCCTTGAAGGTTCCTGAACCACTGTAAAGGTCGATCTGAATCACACAATATGTGTGCTTAAGTTTTTGTGATATATAGATACAGCGAAGGTTTTGCTTGGCCGTCAATAGCAGCCTTCTCTCACACTTGGCGTCTTGTTTGTTTTTGCATGCTAATTTACGGGCCACAAAGCACATGCTGCCATTCGTGTATTTTGCGAGTCAGATAACTCCTTTCAAAGAGAATCACTGCGTTCCAGCAGAAACAGAGTTTCACTGTGGTCCTTGCCCAGTAATGTTGGGCTTCAATGAACAACTGCAAATCCTCCATTAGCGCCTTTGGCGCCACTGGTAAGAAATGGTTTTGTCTAGCATTGTATAGCCATATATAGCCTATTATAGCTTTAATGTCTAAAGATCTGAAGATATTTGAAGAGTCAGAGGTTAGTACAAAGCGCTAAGCCACCAACGCCCTCCCTTGCTCTCCCTTCCCTTTCTCCAAAGCTTTTGGTCGAATGACCGGGGAACACGAGATTGCCTGTCAGGGAGATGCTTCGCTTTCCCGTGGTCAAGCAGCAGCTGAAGAAGTCCTCTCGGTCGCAGAAAACGCGTCCACGCGCGCTTTTCCTGGGGTGAGAACGAAGACCAAGGAAAAATACTGAGCGTCTTCATAGACCAAGGACCACCTGTCATCCCCGGTCATTCCACAAAATAACCCTGTTTCAGAAAAACATAAACGCACGTCCCGGAGATTTCAAGGCTCTTCAAGACCTTCAAACCGAAGCTCCGACATCAACCTGTGGATGTCACATCCCGCGGTAAGGACTTTTAGTTAAAATATCTTAAGGGACTCATTTATTCAAAACAACCTATAGAGATCTATAGAGATCAAGCCTTTTAGCTGCACAGCTAGGCTGAAAACCATGGTGGAGCAGATGGAAGAAGAGCAGCTGACGGAGGAAGCGACCTATGGCAGCGATGCCGCGAGCGACCCGGGAGAGGCTGGGACCCGGACGTTCTTCTTTAACCGGTGTTGGGAACCGGTCGACCAAACATGTTCTTCATCTCGAAAGGGCTGCATTTCATTGTTGCCGCCGCGGGGGGGAATCAATCTAACCGCGCCGCGCGGTCGCCGCGCAGGAAACGATGCTGGATGCCTCTGGTCGTCCCGTGCAGAGCGACACCTTGGCACATGTGCAGCTTGGTTCCGAAAGATCAACGGTCGACCACTGCAGGGCGGGTGGGCGGCCGACCTTGGAAGATCTCTTCAAGCTCGGCATCTCCAGGTGAAGAGTGGGCTGACAGTTACTGTCCTCGGCTTACAAGTGCTGCTAAAGAAGTGATGGTCCTGGTTGGGTATTGCTACCTGCTGAGAGTCTCAAGGTCAGTTTGCATCAAGGACCGAGTAGACAGCAGCTCCTCGTTCTCACATGGAGAGCATCCTGTTCTCCCCCAAAGGCAGATGCCCCTCGCAGAGACATGTGAACTTCAATATGGGGTCGATGACTAGGGGAGTGAACCGCCATTTTATCAATAGGTTGGCTACTAAGCATAAGTTCCCCCCCCAAACTCATGTCCCCCACCGGTATAGCATTCCGCTTTTTCGTGCCTTGCTACGGTTTCTCAGCCCGCCGGGTCACCCGTTCTTTTTTGGCCCTTGAGAGGGCCAAGCAGAAGTCCTTTCCCTTGGAGTGAGAGGGATCGAACTACATCGAAACAAGGCCAAGCAGGCTCCACTCCCCCAGCGCGAGCGCGAGCGCGACCCAGCGCGACCATCACCGGGGTCCACCGCTTCCAGAGCCCACGGCACCGACCCAGTGGACGCGGTCGCGTCGCCAGTGACGCCAGGAAGCTTTATCGTCGCATGCAGGCGAATTGGCAAGCCTATGACGTCGCTTGGAAAGAATCCAGCAAGTCGTCACTTTGGGTGGAGGGATTTAAAGATGGTGGAACGTTTACCTCATTGTGCTATAGACAGTACAGTAGGTGTAAATACCATTGTTGGGACCTAAGGGAGGATTTTTTTAGATGCTTTAAGCATCTGGACTGAACACACAAAAAATACAACTTGATTTCATCCCTCAAGGGATTTGAAGTTGATGAGGTATGATGAGATTCTCAACACCTGCGGCACAGACACGTTTCTTCGATCACACGAAAACAAAAGAAACTCGTTCTGCCTTTGTTCGGCTTTTTGAGACGTTTGCCTCGCCAGATCTGGCAGACGTTGTATGTGGCAGTCGTTGATAAGCTTGAAGTGAGACTGGTTAGACTTGATAAGCTTGGAAGTGAAAACCCCAAGCCCTTGAAGTGCCTTGATAAGCTGGAAGGAAGCTAGCAGCTAGTGAAGCGCCTTCACTGCGCGGCAACCTTCGAGCATTGCATGGCCCCCAACGTTCAGACGTCGAAAGGTCGAAAGAACCGTGGTTCGGCGGGTGACGGGACCGGGGCGAAGCTCAGCCACAGCCACTTCCACCTGGATCTCCACTTCCGTTTCACATTTATGATGATATAGATGCGATATAGGCTAGGCTAAAAAGATCTAAAAAGGATTGTTTCTTTCTCCATTTGTATCCATTTGTGGATCGTAGCCCTGGCTGATAAACTGTGTACTTTGGGTCGAACCAAAGATTCGGTGTTTACGCCGTGCGCACGGACCACTAGCCCCACATAAGGATGTTGAAGCGCGGAGACCCGGCAACCACCACGTTTATCCTGTGTGTGTGTTGAATGATATCGACCTAACACCTTGGAGAGGTTGCGGGATTCTCAGACACAAACATGCTGATCTCGGTGTGTGCGCGTGCCGCACGGCTGCCGGCCTGAGGCGTACGCACGTGTGTGCATGGCAATGGGCACCAACCAATTCTTGCAGGTGGGGTGAGAACCGGGAGTTTCAGAGATTCAATGGACACCTACTACCCAAACGGCCCAAAATAAGCTCCATGCATGGAAGAGTTATGCCTTGAGTTACGTTGATCCTCCAAACCACCCCGACTCATCGGCAAATAATATGGCAGTCCCAGGTGGTGTTTGTGTTTGGGCTACAGAATTGCTGGACCTCAAAAGTTCAGCCAATCACAGCAGAGACTCCTCCAATATGATAAAAACTCCATAGTCAAGTACCATTGGATTCTGACATGTTCTATTTTATACTGTACCTAGAAAGAAAGACTGTAGATCAAGATAAATCACTGTAAATCGACAGCCCAGACCCTCCGGTGAGATGCTGCTCTTTTCCACCTCCACCTCCGTGCCACCGTGCTGAAAAAACACCACGGCCCACGGCGAACGCGTTCCGCGTGACCCGCGCGACGCGCTCTCTCCTTCAGCAACTGGGCTACACCTGCTTGATCGGCTTCATCTCGGAGAACCACTCCGTTCTACCGGGGATTTGTGGCTGAGCGACGCATCCGGTGCCGCCGGCGCGGAGTCGAGGAGCGGAGCGTGAAGTGGATGGTGGGACGCATCCCCTGGAACCATGGGAACCTGCAGGAAGGTGTCAGGACCTGCTTTGCTTGAAGTCTGTGAGAACCATGGGAACTGCTGACTGTTGCGTCAATTGGCAGTTCCAGGGGCTTTGCTTGAAGCAGATGTATGCGCGTTTCAGTAAGATGTTACGACATCTTCATGTGAAGGGCCAAATGTGTTGCTTTGAAATGTTCACAGCTGGCTTTTGGATCCTGTTGGTTCGGTCTGACCTGGAATAGTTTGGAATTCACCTTGACCACTCGTCACAGCCAGGCATGTGAAGAAGGCTATTCCCTATGACACCCTCCCCTTCGCTTCCGGGGAGCGGAGCTCCCTGGGCAGGTGGACCTTCCCAGTTCGTTCGTTCGTTCGAAATCGGCACGTTCGTCGTTTCGCAAAGCCCCTCCCACCATGTGCTGGTCAGATGGGATCCGGAAGGTTCTCTTTTTCCAGCTGGTGAATTTTCAAGGGACAAGACCAGCACTTAGACGGTGTCACAGACGTTTTGAACTTACGAATATCATCTAATCTAATCCTTTTAAAGGAAGTTGGCCCCCACATGTTTTGGGAAGTGTTGAACTTATCGTCTAAGTTTGGTTCTATGTACCAGCAATGCGATCAGTCCTGTGTCTGATGTGAAAACCCTTGGGTGTCTTGGGTGACGTGAAGGAAATCTCGATGGTGATACCGGCAACTTGCGGTAAAGCGTTATCTTACTGACCTAGTATGACCTAGTTGTGTATTGAAATAGGGAGACCTCCCGGTTGGACCAAAGAATCATGGTCTACCATGGTCTACCCATGTCTACCCAGGGATCTCCTTATTACGTCGACAAAGACATGACGTTGCTGTGGTTGGTGGAGACCAGACATCGCTGTATGTCGACTGAGCGATGTCCGGAGGTATGCCTTCACAGATTCAGAATGTATACTCAGGAGCATCCTGTTTGTATACCGATCTGTTTGATACCCAGGGTAGTCCGGCTGGGTGTCGTGCACCGGTCGGATGGTCCACCGAGGTTCGGTGGTGATCTTCAGTGTTTGTGCCGCGCTGCTGGTGCGCTTGGACCTCTACTTGTTGCTCGGCAGAGAGTCCGTCTTGGGGGATGGCAGTGGAGCAGGAGCAGGAGCTCTAAGTGCAGGAGAAGGAGCTGTAAGTGGTAGAGAAATTCCAGAGGTCCTTTCTTTCAGGTTATGATTATTTATTAGATACCAATTATATACAAATTATACATTAAAAACATATAACTTACATGATTTACCATCCACAATCCTTCCCCAACCATCCGCATCTCTCCTCTGAATCCACTGGATGTGGCAACACTCGAAGTCCAATCCGCTCGAGGCCGTTGCAGCACTTGGTCCTGGCGGGGATTCTGAATACGTGCCTGGGATGAGCCTGGACGTGCCGGTCGAAGCGCCGACCCCCAGCAGGGCTTAAGGGTTTAAGGAGGGTTGGAGGGTTTAAGGGTTGGGAGCCTGGAAGTGTTGTTGTCAAAGAAGACAAGCCCACAGGACATCGAAGAAGGTTTGGATTTGCGAAGTCACAACAACATGAAAACACATTATACATGATCCTGGGCCCACTATCCATGAGGGATCCACATACCTTCTCGCGGTTCTGTGCGGCGACTGGAGTGGAACATCCAAGGCTACGTCTACGCTAAGAGTGTCTCCAAGATCATCCCCTTAGACTGACTGAGGGTATGTGGATCCAGAGGGTATACAACACCCAGACACGACTAATGGGACTGCCATAGGACTGCCGATCAGTTGGGGTGGTTCCAGGGGTCAATGGGGCGGCATATATGCCATACATGGAGTGTCTGGGACATGATCTTGGCTCCTTCAAGTTGACATAGCAGGAACTGAATGGATTTCTCCACCACCGACAGCACGTGTGTTCTCATTTGGCCACCGGGTGGAAGACCATGACTGCCAGCTGCAGGTTGCCACCAATGATTGCCGGGGTGAGTTTGATCCTCAACATGTTGACGCCACGTGGCCGTGTGAGTTGTGCGAAGCGTTTCGTGCGCCGACCGGATGGCCGTTGAAGCGGGTGGTGAGAACACCACCGTGGAGCGCTTCAAACCCCCCCCAAAAAAGGGGTGCAATCTACCCTGGCAAGGGCGAGAGGATTTGGTTTACCCACAGATGGAGGGTTTCAGCGACGCCATGGCGCCTCTCCTTTCGACGTCGCAAGTGTCACGCCTGTGTGGCTCTGTGAATGACCTGCAGTGATTTGTATAACCCAGACACGACTTGTCTGGGACTTCCAGTCCGGACTGCCGAGAAACGGCCAGGGGTTATTTCACTGGGGGCAAAAGAAGGGGCGGCAGTCCTATGGCAGTCCCAGACAAGTCGTGCCTGGGTAATTACCATACATTCCCCATGTTCCTGATGTTTCTATTCGGAGGAGATGAGATGTTTTCTAACTGATGCGTTCCGAACTAGCAAAGCAAAAGTTTGCGACTATGAAGCTGTGTTTCGTGGGCCAGTCTGTATCGTTCTCAACGGGACAGGGGGAACATTGGGAGACCAGAGTTGGGAAGTCCAGATATTCGGTCTTCTCATGTCTTCTTTCTTCAGGAACCTTCGTTCTGCGACAGGCTCTACCCGACCAGACGGGGGGCGTTCCGACCTCTCACCCCAGGTTGGACGGTAAAAGTGCATACTGGAGACTCTTTGCTGCAGATCTTGCGACCTTTCGCGAACATCAAGGGGCACACTCCCGAAGTCATCATGGAAGTGGATGGCGCCACCTGTGTGTAGAGGAATATGGTCATCCGAGGGAGTTTCAAAGGGACATAATTTTGATGATTGGTGTTTGGTGTTTGCAGGTCGTTGCACACGCGGGAGCTGAATTAAGTAGGCCGCGTGCAGTCCCACTACTGCTGCCCAAAGTGAATTCTGAGCACCCAATCCCAGTATTCTTGGCTTCCAGAAGCTTAACCTCCCTGGGATGAAGACGGGTTGCAGATGGTCGCCGCACACACCTTCATGTAGGGAGATTGCAGCCCCCCCAAGTCAAGTCTATAGTTTGTTGAAGTGTGATGTTTCAAGATGAAACCGTTTTCTCCATGCGCCTCCATGCGCCACACACATTGGAATCAACATGAGGACGTGGTCAAGAATCAGGACATTTGATCAGGTCGTTAGACCTCAAAAGATCGAACTAACACTGTAGAGAAAGCCATGAAAAGACACCCCTCAACGTCCTCAGACGTCCTCGTGTTGTCGACTCGTGTTGTCGTCCTCGTGTCATCTGATCGCGGGAAAATGGCTTCAGGTTGACCCGTTCACCATGGTTCACCTGGTGTCCGTAGGTATTGGTAGGTGGACTGGGTCGGGCTCCGCCCCATGACCCATGCCTTCCTGCTCAGAACTCTTGGGCGATTCGCTGGTGCCGGCGGCCTTCTTCCTGCACATTCTTTGGCCTTTTGGACCTAGGGTTTGGTGCTTTTCTGATTGAAATATCGAAGGAGCGTCGAAATATCACCTGCCAAACCCACTCCATCTTTTCCCCCGAACCCACGCACAGAAAACAAAGCAGTTTGAAGGCACAAAACAATTGCTTGTGGAAGTACTACGTTCATCATTTCCAGCACGATGCAGGAGGGTCTTCAAAGCCTCGGATTTTTATAAGCAAATCACGACCATGGTTAAATGAGCCAAAACCTGTGGAGCAAGAGTAACTCAGCTGGACAGTTCAAGGCCTTCGGCTGGACAGATTCAAATCCGGGTCAAAAGCTGAAACACCCCGGAACAGCCCCAAGATTGGATTGCGGACAATTATGCATTTCAATTATACATTTGGTATTGCTCACTTTGCCTGCCCAAGTTTGAGTCTTGACGGTGTCAACACTCTGCCAAGGCACTTTTGCTAATGTGGGGGCACTTCAAACAGGATGTCGGAAGTCCAATCTCTTCCAAAGCCCTCACTGTCAGAAGGACAGACAACGAAGACCAGAGTCTAGAAAAATGAGTGATGTGTTCTTGTGAATTAGTGCCCTCAGAGCTCAGTTTTGCGGCAAGATACAGGATCAAGTAAGCATCATGGTTCTAGACAGTCTAGACGATCTAAGCTAACAAGCCATCCAATCCAAGTACCAGATTGTTTCTTGATGGAGCTGACCATCCAAGCAACTCCAACCCCCCCGATGTCAAGTTTTGACATTGAAGCTCCTTGTGATTTGAAACCACAAGCAGGTTCATGGTCCACGGTTCAGGTTCAATACGTTTCAATGAACTGGCTTGTCGGCTTCATGCTGGTTTGGCCTCAGGCTTGGCCTTCTGCTGGTTTGGGCAAAGGCGCCCCACCACATCGGGACGGCAGTGGCGAGGTGGCGGGCGCGATGACATCGGGAACGCCCCCACTGAAACTGCAGCGCGTTTCTAGGTGGAGCACGGAAACTTGTTGTTTTCTTCAGATGAGGTTAAATTCACTGGGGTAGCTTAGGCCATAGGCATGCATTTTGGAACCTCTTTGACTCCAATGCTTCAATGGGGAACGACTACTGTAGGAAGAGAGGGATTGCCAATGAGAAATTCAGTGCAACTGTGGTACTCTGGAACCGTGATGAAAGTTTTTTTTGACTTGACCGGTGCTCTTGGTGCTACAAGGTAGCAGTAGCTTTTTCAGCATCGCAGACTCCACGTCACTGGGAACGCACACGATCTGAACCACAGGCTGGTCAAGATCAGAAGGCTTTGATGAAGACCACGTTAAACACAAAAAACATGCGCACAGAACAGTGCAATAGGGATAGATTGTGCTCCCAGCTTTGGTTCAATCAAACGATGAGCTGTTAAGCGGGGGGTTGTCAGGTTCTCCAAACGTTTGATTTGCTGGAAACCATTTGGATTCCATTTAGGTTTGATGGTGTTTGGTGAACCTGAAGAGGTGCTCAACAACCTGTCAGAACGCAGGGCAAAGTGATCAACAACATCTATTTGCCCACGATCTTCCGGGCTGTGCCCCTAAGCTGCAGACCATGGGGAGTTGTGTTGGGGTGTGTCTTGGTGGATTCCTTCTCCGCGCCGAAGCCACCTGTGGGTTTCGCCATGTCACGAAAGCTAGCGAAGCTAGCTGGACTTACTCTTGCGTTAGAAGGGTTTCTTTCGATCGGGGGCAAACCCTCCCCCCTGATCTTTCAGGCCGAAGCCCCCCCCCCCCCCCCCCCCCTCCCCACCTCTCCTCTCCTCCTCCTTGTCTTCCTCCATCTTCCCTCCCTCCCTCCCTCCTCCCTCTTCGCAAGTTCGACTCCGTTCGACTCCGTCCTGTCGTCGCTCTTTGGCATGCGGTTAGCGTTGCGTATCTTGCAGCCGCACTCTCTCACTCTCACTCTCACTCTCACTCTCACTGTCTCTCTCTCTCTCTCTCCTCTCTCTCATCTCTCTCTCATCTCTCTCTCATCTCTCTCTCATCTCTCTCTCATCTCTTTCTCATCTCTCTCTCATCTCTCTCTCCTCTCTCTCTCTCTCTCTCTCTCTTCTCTCGCAGGAGGATCCGGGCAAAGAGCCACATATAAAGGACTCTTCACCTGGAATCGTTTGCCCCGCCCAACTTGTGCAAGGCGTCCTGCCTTCTGCTACTCCGTGCAGACCCGCTGCTACCAAAGCCTATTTGGCTTCGAGATGTATTTGTAAATCGTTCACCTGGTATCTAAAGCCACATTACACGGGAACAGGGAAATGGTGCTGCTCCTCGCTGCCCTCCACTTTCCCATTCTGGAGCGCTAGCTTTCGCCCCCCCCCTTGGCCTCAAGTAATTCGTGGACCTCGGGGTGCTTTGGACTGACAAAACACGATGGCATGCCCGGTGAGGGCATCCCCAGCCCCTCCGCCGGAGAGTGTCAGTTTCGATCATGACATGAGAGACCAGCGACAGCGAGCTTAGGCTTTTCCAAAACTGTTGGACAAGTTGCCCAGTCACAAAAGGTATCTTGCGGAAGATCAACTGAAGGGGTGGAAACACCTGCAATACACGAGACGTATCTTGGGGGCCAAGTGACTTGTGTGAATTTCGAACGTGCGGAGTGGAATATGTGGTGGGTGAAGACTAGACTCGACAACCAAAAGAATGGCAGGCTAGCAAAACTTGGTAATTAGATGTCAGTTTCGGCTCTTCTGCAGAATGTCCTGTGCGTCCCTTTTTGTGTCCTGATATTTTGTACTGTCAACAACTCCAAGTCACCACCAATAGTGTTTCGGAGCTCTACAGTTGCTGATACTATTTCTCTATCGCCACGAGACTGACCAATCTACCCATGCCCGTCTACCAGGAAGGCGAACGCTAAGTTCGACCTGCGAAGGAAAATAGACCAGTCTACCCAGTCTACCGGGCCAACGGTTCAATTCACCTCGGTTCCGTGCCGAGGCTCTACTTGGACGTCTTCGGCTGGTTAAGTTCCGAAGATCGTCAGGCGGGAGAGCCGAGAGCGCAGCGGAGTGCGCAGCGCAAGCTGATGAGTCGCCTTCTTCATCTCTGTGATCGTCATAGGAGGGTTCTCTCCCCCGAAGAAGTTTCCCAAGAGATACAGCTAGGGGCCTGTAAGAGACACACCCTGGAAGAAATCACAGCTAGGAGCTGTATCTCTTGGCCTGTAGTGCTTGGAAGAAATGTGAGCCTAGCTGTATGTTCACAACCTGGATGATGTGCGCCTGGCGACCGTGCGGGCGCTTTGTAGCTCAGTAGAGATAGTGGGTCTAGAGATCTCATGCCCAGTCAACTCCGGTTCATAGGGCTCCGAGGCTGCCTGGTCATACTGAGTGGTGTCAACCGTTGTGCAATGCTGTGCAGGATGATTAGCCACTGTCCCTCTTTTCATGTTCCCAAAGTCATTAGTATATTCCTATCCCAGGCACGACTAATGGGACTGCCATGTATGCCTACATTGACCCCCCGAACCACCCTAATGTAGGCATATATATGGCAGTCCCGTGGAGTGTTTGGGTATTGTGCTTGTAAGAATTGTTTCTAGATACAAAAGGCACTGTCCGTTCACTTTGCAGAGTTGTGCTTGCACCTGTTTTCGTCTCGGGTTCCATCGAACGCCCATGCCGTTGGTCTCCGTTCGCAGGAGTCTCGAACGCTCACGGGGGGCTGCAGAGGACATTTGGATGAGAGGAAACGTGATGACTACCGTAAGACATACACTCACAAGGAAACACATGCCCAAGTCTGAGAGTGTGCGCAACTTGTTTTCATCTACATTTATGAATGTTCTTCTTGTGCTTAGAGTGCTAGTCTGTGTCTTACACCATTGCAGATGTTTCCGGTGTTTCGAAAAGATCTTTACCGGAACTTGTTCGCTCAAGTGACTCCCAGCGCCGCCACGGCCATTCATTCACGGCGGCCTGCACCACGGCCTCCTCCCAGCGGATCCGCTTGCTGGTTCGGTGAGTGTTCGGATCGGTGCCAAGGACTTCATGTAGACCAAGCAAACCTGATCGGATCGAGCCATAATTGTGGTTTTCAACCCAATCCCTTTGGGATGATTGGACCCTCTGACTCATATGTTTCCGGTTGAAAACACCAAGCAGTACTAATCTAGCAAGTCCTGTCATTGACTTCTTCGGAAGTGAAGCACCTGGTCCAGATCTTTAGAGATCAGAGGACCCGGAGAACACGGCCGACTCCTTCTCCGGGCTGAGCGTGGTTCAAGAGGAGGAGCGACTTCTTCGCAGGGTGGCGATCAATCCGGCGAACGCGGACGCGGAGCGGCCGAAAGCGAAGGCGAAGACGCCGCTGTATCATGGACTCTGCAGAAAAATCTGGAGGAAAGGATCACCGAATTTTGGAATGACCTGTGAGTACTGCATCCCAAGTCCAGAGGCGATATGCTAGCATATATAGCTCCTCAGAAGTTCCAGGCTGTTACATCAAGGATATTGTTTCCCTGGACCGTGGACCTTCCAAGATTTGTGCTGCTAAGCGGTGCCTCCGCTCTCCACCTCCGGTTCCAATTCACAGGGAGGGGAATGTAGCGTTGCGGTGAAACTGGCTTCCTAGGGTAACAACCTCAGACCTCAGGTGTGTCCCAGACATACATGTGAGATTCATGAGATTGATGTAAGCCTCACTAGTAGCCCTACGGTAAGCAGTAGTAGTAGTAGTAGTAGTAGTAGTAGTAGTAGTAGTAGTAGTAGTAGTAGTAGTAGTATGTGGTAGTTGGTCTCCTCTCCCAGGGAGGTCGCTGGGTGCCTGGACTAAGGGGGGGGGGATGTGGAGCTTTAGAAGTCGGTCGCTCCCAACTCAGTCGGTCTCCGAAAATGCCATGACCCAGAGAGCCGCTGTCCTTGTTCTTGTTTCCAACACCCAGGTTTATGCATGGAGAGGCCATAATCCACCAGACTGTTTTGAAAAAAAAAGCATTGTTATTCTTAGTTGCAGAAGGTCTTGCAGAAGGTCCAATGACTTGCACCCTCCACCTCCACCCCGCCACCCGCCACTCTCCACCTCGCCACCGTCTTCACCCACCAGGAGCCTTCCCAACCGAGCCGCCTACGCATCCCCGGATCCGATGGGCGTCGACAAAGCCTCCGAGACTCCTTAGCTCTTCGGCCGCACGGGTTGGACGCGCGAACCACGGTGCGAGTCTTTTGAGTTCCATGAGGTTCCCATGTTTAGAGAGTTTTCACTAAGGACATGTGCAGGTCATGGTGGACCCCTCCATTCTTGATTCTTTGGAAAAGACCATGTTGGGGATCAATTGAAAGCTATGATACATAGACATATGGACTGGATGCAATGTAGGATAGGGCTTCATGGCAAGCATTTGTTGTTTAGAGCTGTAACCCATGCGCACAAGACACCCGGTGAACTCAGAAAAGCCCTCATGTCGGACACAACAAGGGTTGCTTTTTCTTCGGCTCACAAGCTCCGGCAGTGACTCGATGTGGAGAAACACCATAGATGGCACTATTTTGGTTGGTTGATTGATAGAGGGGATGCCTCAAGTGAACAACCAGATATGGTCCCAACTGGACCCCCTCGATTCTTCCAAAAAGGGGACCGCACTGAGGCCAAGCTCTGCAGCGAAATGCTGCTTGGGATGCAGTGGAATGTGCACGGGAATCAGTGGAAACCACTCGATGGGAAGCCACGCGTACCACCACTGGAGGCAATGGGCCAGCCTCGAAGGGCCTCGAAGGGCAAAGGGAGTAGAACAGGGTTTTCTCGGCCGAAGCGGCCGAAGCGGAAGCAGTCATTTCGAGTCCCAGCTCGTTGTGATGAAGCGATCCTGGAAGACGTGGTACGGATCCCAAACCATCTGTGAGTGATTTTCACAGGAAGACTAAATAGAAGGAGACACTTTTGACTGACGCGTTCACACATGAACTGTTTGAATGTGTGGTGCTCAAGTGAAAGGGATTGGGGCGCATGAAGCCCTCGTCGCTGGGCCTCTTGGCGCTGGCCCGACTGGTGGAAGTGGGTCTTCGCAATTGGCCCAAGGAGACGAGGCCCTCAGAAGCTTCTCCGAGTTGGATCAACCAGACCTGTGCCTGTCAGTGTGTTTGCCTGGAGGGAAGGGGAAGATCAGATTTTTTGATTGGAACGTTGCTAGGCATCATCTTAGCTCTGGCCTGTGTGTTTGTCAAGGGCTGTGTGACTTCAGGGGATCGGTCGAACCACCTGGATGACTCATTTACGAGCCCGCGCAGACGCGGAGGAGGTGTTGTCCATCTGCCATCCAGGGCAGGTGGCAATTGTATGGTACAGTGACGACAACGTATATCATGAGCGGTTGATGATTTGGCGTTCTAACCCCACCACCTGGTTTGTTCTGACACCTGATGGAGACTTCTACCAAGAAGACTGGTCAGGGTTGGGAGACGATGGACCCGTCAGTTTCAAGGTGAAGGGTAAGGGCATGGACTTCCAGTATTTTTCTCGGATCACCCAACCCGTCTATCGGTTTCGTGAGTACCCCGACGATGAGACCTTCAAGGGATACATCGAGCAAGCGTTGACTGAGTTGGGAGAGCTGGGAACGGGTACATTCTCTTGGACCCCCCGCAAGATCTACCAGATGGACGGTCGTGAAGTTGAAGCCAGTGAGTTTTTGGGGCGATTGTTGGTTCCTCGCAGGATCCGGAGGCGGGACGGTGGCGTACTCACCGGACCCGTCACCCCGGCGGGTGAGGGCCATATGTGGGCAGCAGTGCATGACAGTCCGCATTTGGATCTTGGCAAGGAGGTGACCAGCGACTTGGACAAGGCAGTACAAGTTGACAGTACTCATGGGCATGAGACAGGCTGGACTCTGGTGAGATTGTTGAAGATCGAGAGTGCCCCGGCCTTCATCGAGGAAAGAGAGAAGCTGATGACATCCCGCCTGGAGGTTCGTGTAGGACTGACTGGAAAGGCCGGTGTCGAGAAAAAGACCGACACCAATGCAGAGGAGACGGAGGAGACCTCGGAAGATGCCAGAACCCTGAGCGTTTACTATGACGACCAAGGAGAACGCTACAGATCCTGGCGAGAGGCCACCAAGGATGCCAGGGAGTACGCCTACTCGGACTGGCCCCTAGAAGGCCCTCAGTCAGTCCTGCACTTGATGAAGTACATGTTGAAGAATGGTGGGAGCCCCAAGCAATGGCTGCAGATCTGGGCCAGACACAAAGGCGTGTATGAGAACGACCGGGCCATGCACGAGATGCGGCCCCTGTTAGAGTGCTTTGAACACGCAGGTTGCTATGATCAGCTCAACCTGGGAAGCTTGGCAAGCTTCCAGACCCTAGGCCGACGTGTGCAGAGCATTGTGGACGCCTACAACAGTGGGACCGCCTCCTCTCCAGATTGGGGCGCAGCAAAGATCATGTCTGGGTACCAAGGACCAGAAGACCTGGTGTCTCCGAACCTCAGGTCATGGGCAGCCAAGAAAGGCAAAGAAGAAGTGGAGTTGGCAGCAGCTCGTACCAAGATGAGAGAGTACAAGAAGTTGCAAGCTCCAGTGGAAGATGCTGCAGCTGGTGCGGTGGCTGATGGAAACTTGCCCGCAGGCGGAGTGGTTGCAAAGCCCAAGAAGAGAGCCAAGGCGAAGCAACTTGCTCCGCCTGGTGATCAATGATGGATGATGATGAGAGGCCCTCCAAGACCTCCCAAGAACCAAAGGGGGTCTCTCAGAGGCTAGCAGCATTGGGGGGCAACAAGCCGGATCCTTCGAGTCGCTCCCGTGACCTTTTTCCTCTGCCAGTCCCTCAGGTGCCAACCTCCCCGAGACGGGGAAGCCGGAGGTCGCAGCAGAGGAGTGACCGTCGACAGAGACACATGACTACGGTCAAGGAGGCCGTGGAAGGACTCAATTGGATGGCTGGACACACTTTTTTGCATGGTACAGTTGGAGAGCCAGATGCTTTACAGGTGGAGGTTCTTCAGAGAATTCAAGACCTTGCCCTTGACGCCGGACGGCTGGGCAGCCTGGAACGAGTTCCCAGTCCTGAGGCAGTCCTTGGGGAGCTGCTCAAGGGGAAATCAGAATATAGCAGGCCTGATATCCCTGTTGCTTTAGCCCCCTACAACCTCGAGCGTATCTCGTTGCCGAGCAGCTTGCATGACCTTCCTGAGGCCAAGGACTTGTTGCCGGTCGATGCCCGTCGATTTTTGTTGGGAGAAGAGCTCATGCTTAGGGATGGGGAGATTGTGGACACCCCCAAACCTTATTGGGATCCTGTCTTGGCGAACAACAAACACCACTATAGGAGCTTCATTCAAAAGTTGGATAGTATAGGTCTTTTGCAGTACACCCAGAAGCCGAAGAATCAAGTTGGGGCATTTTTTGTTCACAAGAGCGACAAGCAGAGAATCCGGCTGATTGTAGACGCCAGGTCTACTAACGCTTTGTTTAGGGACCCCCCAGGGGTAGAACTATGTTCAAGCGAAGGATTCAGTCGCATCGAGTGCGAAGTGCCTGACAACATCCTTCCGGGCAGTCCAGAGTTTGCGAAGGAGCTTCAATCGATGGAGCTGCACATCGGATTGTCAGACGTGAAGGACTGTTTTCACCGGCTGAAACAACCTAGATGGTTGGCGGAATACTTCTGCTTCAAACCTGTTCGTGCGCACTGGGTTGGGATGGCTGGGAAGGAACTAGAGGGAGTGAAGTTGGGTAGCAACGACATTATCTATCCAATGCCTGGGAGTTTATGCATGGGTTTTTCTTGGAGCCTTTATTTTTGCCAACAGATCAATGAGCATCAGTGTGCATTGACAAAGAGCTTGAGAGACTCCACACTCATCTCAGACAAAGGGAGGCCCGTGGTTTTCAGAAGTCAGAAGTGTCGAGAACAAGAACAGACCACGACAAGACACTATGTCTACGTGGACAACCTGGGAGTGGTATCCCCCCATCGTGCAGTAGCCTTGACGGCCCTTGAGGAACTTGACGACCACTTTGGGCGGAAGGGATTGCTGCTTCATCCAGGAGAAGTGCACAGTGAAGAGACTAAAGCTTTGGGGACTATACTGGATGGTAGGAACCTCTGTTCTCGTATATGCCCTGAGCGTTATCATCGAGTCCGACAGAGCATTAGAGGCTTGTTGATGCGGAAGAGGGTGACAGGTCAGATGCTAGAGGTAGTGATTGGACATGCAACATTTTGTGCATTAAACAATCGGATGTTGTTGGCCGTTTTTCACAATAGTTACAAGTACATCAGGGCCCACTACTTCGAAGCAGCAAGACTTTGGGATACAGCCCGAGCCGAGCTATCAGCCTTCGCAGGACTGATGATCTTCTTGCGCGCCGACTGGTGGAGGCCCTGGAACAACATGGTCTGCAGCAGTGATGCTAGCCTCACAGGGTTTGGCGTTTGCACTTCGTTTTGGGACAGGGTTGATGTTCAGTCAGTTGGTAGGCAAAAAGAACGCAATAGGTTCAGACGTAAAGAAAGTCACTCAGCTAGAGAGTCTTCGTTGACGGCAGCCGGGTTCGTTCGGGACGACATCACGGGTGCATGGAAGACCGGAGCGGAGAGATCTCAGCAGAAGAGTATTTGGACCTGAGCGGATGGACATTGAATCATGAGTTCGAAGAAGTGCCAGCCCGATTGTTGAGGAAAGAGTTGTGGCAGCCAAAGCTCTGGGGCAAGTGGTGCCATCCAGAAGGCATCATCACCTTAGAGGCGCAGGCTGCGGTGAAGGCGTTGCGTCGGGTGGCGTTGAGCCGATATGGTTCTCAGATCCGGCAGTTGTTTCTTTTGGACAACATGTCATTGACGTTGGCGCTTGAAAGGTGTAGGAGTCGGCAGTTCGGGCTCTTGAAACAGGTGAGGCTTTTTAATTCCTACTGCATAGCAAGGGGCATACAACCGTGTTTCCGTTGGATTCCTAGTGAGTTGAACAATGCAGATGAACCATCGCGATACAATACAGATGAACCCTCTAAGTTGCTCACCTCCAACATACCACAGGGGAAGCTCCCTGTGCCACATGGCGCCCAAGAGGACACGTGTTTTGCACCTGCCAGTGGAAGAGCCTCCAAAGAAAGCCGCTCGCGTTCAGCGAGTGTTGAGCCCGGGCCGAAGCACACAGACCAATCGACCTCCTCGCAAGGAAAGCTCGCTGAAGTGCACAGAGACCCAAGAGTTGCTGGCAACGAAAGGAGTGCTGGGAAAGGTTCCGACCTTGGAGAACCGGGGAAGAGAGAACCATGACGTCGACCCGGAACTCCGTGTCAAGCAGTTCAGACAGCAGCAGCGAGCCCGACCTGGCGAAGAAGAAGAAGAGAAGCTTGCACAGCCGTGCCAAGTACCGGAGAAGAAAGTACGTCGTCATGGAGGGCAAGACCAGTGGAGACCTGACACTGCTGGAAAGAAAGGCCATAGGCACCGCCTCAGAGAAGATGTACCAGAAAGAGTTGAAGGCCTTCATGGACTATGCCGGATGCCGCGGCCTGAACCTGAAAGAGGGCGAGACCGTGGACCGCTTGATGGTGCAATACATGAATCATTGCTATCTGGCTGGCCACCAGGCCTATGTTGGGGACAGGCTCATTGCAAGCTGGATGCACCACTATCCGGAGTACAGCAAGTCCGGGGTCAGGAAGATCCCAAGAGCCCTTCGATGTCTGAAAGGGTGGAGACGTCTGTGCCCTGGCCGCTCTCGGGTGCCTTACCCCCTGAGCGTGTGGTGCGCCGTGTGCCCTGGCATGTTTGATGATGGAACATGGATTTCCCACGATGGCCGTTTTTGTGATGCTAGCCCTCTCCACCTACAGCCGCCCTTCAGAGCTTTTGAGGCTGAAGACATTCAGCCTCGTGCGACCAGCGCCGGGAGTGACTGGGAGCTGGAGTCTTTTGTTGAGCCCAGAAGAGTTGCAGGAGCCATCCAAGACGGGAGATTTCGACGTGAGCATCCTGTTGGACTCTCCCTATACCAACTGCTGGGCTGGGAAGATTCTGAAAACAATGAAGGCCAATAAGAGCGGAAACAGTCCTCTCTGGGACTTCGACTATGGCCAGTACCTGGCAGTGTTCAAAAAGTGTGCCAAGCAGATGAACGTGCCCCTCGAGCCCTACCACACCAGACACAGCGGACCTTCGATCGACAGAAGTCGAAAATACAGAAGTCAGCTGGAAGTGCAAAAGAGGGGACAGTGGAAGAGCACAAAGTCGTGCGTGCGGTACGAGAAGGCCGCCCGCCTGGCCCGGAGTTGGGAGCAGGTACCGGAGAGGACCCGGGACTACGCCCTGGCTTGCGAGGCAAAGTTCGACGACATCATGCTTGGAAAGAAGAAGTGTCCAGACTCAAGCCGCCTCGGAGAAATGTCAAAGGACACTACGTAGCAGACCTTTTCTCCGGATGCGGTGGAGTCGCCTTGGCTTGTGAGAGACTAGGTTTTGTTAGCAAGCAGTGGGACATCAGGCTCGGTCATCAATGTGATTTGACAAGCCGCAATGTTTTGTACAAGTTGAAATGCGACATCAAAGCAGGCAAAATCATTGCAGTCATGATGGCTCCACCTTGCAACAGTTTTTCAGTCGCTCGCGACCGGACCAAGGTCATTCGGACACGTGAACATCCATGGGGAATACCTTCAGTATTTTTGACAGACAGTGAGTTGGAAAACATACAACTGGGCAATGCGTGTTTCAAGTCATGTTTCGCTTTGATCAAGCTTCTGGACAAATATCGGATTCCGTGGATCTTGGAAAATCCAGCAAGTTCAAAGTGTTGGTATTTACCTGCTTGGGACAGAGTTTGCTCACAGACGCACGTTCATGCAGTGTACACCGATTTTTGCCGGTTTGGGACCAGATGGAAGAAACACACAAAATTTGTTTGTGGAAACATCGAATGGGATGATCTACATCGGGTCAACCAACAATGCAATGGTCGTGGCATTTGTATGGTTACAGGCAAACCTCATTTCCAACTCACTGGTAAGGGACCTGGAGGACGCAACTGGACTGAGATAGCTCAACCTTACCCCAGCAAACTCTGTTCAGCACTTGCGCACGCATTGACTGCACCACATCATTACAATTATATTACTTACTGAGTGACTTCTACAATTCTGGAGAACATACCTGTTTTTGGAATGACTTTGGAAGAAAAAA